AGATGTTTATCTGTCACTAGGAAAATCTAGAAAGATACACTAGAAAAATCTTTAAAGTAATAAGGTAGCTACACGGAAAGGCATACTTGTTTATCAGGGGAAAGATAGCAGTAATCCAAAGACAACTTCACAAAGCAGGTTGAGTCTTAAAAGATGAAAAGTAATTTGTCAGAAGAGTACAGGAAAGCATTTCAGATGAAGGAACTGATAAAAGCTAAAAAGTAAGAAGAATTTTGTAAACCATGAATAATGTTGCAGTTGAAGCTTGGCATGTTGTTAAAAAGGTCCTGTTATGAAGGAGAGAAGAGAATATATTGTGACTTTTTATGTCTGTCCTGTATTTTGAAATTTTGTTTGGTTTCTGATTGTTTTGTTCACTGATGTTTTTGTTCACTGATGTTTGGATGAATCTGTTAATGAAACTTTGAGCCGTTTGCCTGTAACCTGGTGACATCTGGTATTTCCCAAATGGCTTGTTGAAGTTTTTAAATCATTGGAAGTAGTTCTTAAAGAAGTAAATATTCAGCTGAATATTTAAGATTGACTTAATCTGTCATTTGATACAATGTTGTAGATTTATGTTTTAAATGAAGATTGTGTCTTTTATCTAAACATTTTAAGTAATTTTAANCTGTCGTTTTTGAGATTGCATCCAAGTACTGCATTTCAGACTCTTTTTGACTGTGATGGCTACACCATTTCTTCTAAGGAATTCTTGCCCACAGTAAGGGATATAATGGTCATTGGGGTTAAATTTACCCATTCCAGTCCATCTGGGGACTTCCCTGGTAGCTTAGTCGGTAAAGAATCTGCCTGCAGTGCAGGAGACCTGGACTCAATGCCTGGGTCAGCAAGATCTCCTGGAGATGGAAATGGCAACCCACTCCAGCATCCTTGCTTGGAAAATCCTATGGCCAGAGTAGCCTGGCAAGCTACAACTCATGGGGTCACAAGAGTCGGACACGACTTAGGGGTAAACCACAAACCAGTCCATTTTAGTTCACCTATTCCTAAGATGTCAGTGTTCACTCTTGCCATCTCCTGTTTGGCCGCTTCCAATTTGCCTTGATTCATGGACCTAACATTTCACGTTCCTATGCAGTCTTGCTCTTTACAGCCTCAGACTTGACTTCCAACACCTGTCACATCCACAACCACGTGTTGCTTTTGCTTTGGCTCTGTCTCTTTATTCTTTCTGGAGTTATTTCTCCACTGATCTCCAGTAGCATATTGGGTACCTATTGACCTGGAGAGTTCATCTTTCAGTGTCCTATCTTCTTGACTTTTCATACTGTTCATGGGGTTCTTAAGGCAAGAATACTGAAGTGGTTTGTATTTCCTTCTCCAGTGGACCATGTTTTGTCAGTACGTTCCACCATGACCCGTCTGTCTTGGGTGGCCCTTCATGGCATGGCTCATACTTTCACTGAGTTAGTTAAGACTGTGGTCCTTGTGATTAGCTTGGTTAGTTTTCTGTGACTGTGGTTTTCATTCTGTCTGCCCTGTGATGGATAAGAATAAGAGGCTTATGGAAGCTTCCTGTGATGGGAGAGTCTGACTGAGGGGGAAACTGGGTCTTGTTCTGATGGGCAGGGCCATGCTCAGTAAATCTTTAATCCAATTTTCTGTCAGTGGGCGGGGCTGTGTTCCCTCCCTTTTGTTTGACCTGAGGTCAAACTACGATGAAGGTGATGAAGATAATGGCACTTCTTTCAAAAGATCCCCTGCATGCACTGCTGCACTCAGTGCCCCTGACATTACAGCAGGCCACCTCCAACCCCTACCTCCGCCAGAGACTCCAGGAAAATAAAACTAAAAAATATAAAAATACAAGCACACACAATCATAATGGCTAATTCCACTAGTCATTAGAGTTCTGATATCACTTATCCTGTCTCTGGAGAACTCTGCCGTGCACTCAGAAAATAATGAGAATGGAAGTAATGTTCAGTGTTGTTGTGAAAATAGTTTTGACCTTTTGGACCCCCTGGCCCAGTGGGTCTCTGGACTTCAGGGATTCTCAGGTCATACTTCACAACCGCTATTTTAAACTATTGATGTTGTTGGATATGAAATGATAAAGGGGACCTTGTTGATACGTGTTGACATGGAGTTTAAAGTTTCACTTTTACATTTCTTGCTTGTTTCTTTGAGTTCTCTTAAGAAATTGTGTTTTCAGCTGTGTCCACATAGTATATTAACTTGTTTTATTATTTGTAATAATAAGAGTTGTAATAATAATTAAGAGTTCACAGGGGATGTTGGTATAAAGGAATGTTGTATCATTTAAAAGCAGTATATAGAAAGTCAATTCTGATTCTACAGGGATGCCCAGTCTATTAAGTAACCATGTCTAATAACGTGTTGTCCATAAATACTAATTAATTTAGCACCTCTAATTAGTCATATGGTCAGGGCTATAGTAATAAATCTTACAGTGTTTCTTTTTTCACTCCTGTACCTTTTTATTTTCTATCCTCACCTTTGCATTTACAGAAGAAGTTATCTCCTAGAATAGTGACTGCAAGCTCTAAACTCAAAGTGCTTGTCTTTTTCTTTTAATCTATACCACTGAGTCGTTTGCTCTTGTTTCTCCATGAACTTGGTAGGTCCAGGAAAAGCCAATTCAAATAAAACACCTACAGAGTTCCTTCAACACTGGACAATGTGAAATAGGAAAACTACAAAATAAATAGAAGCATCTTCGGTCAGTTCATGTTGATCATTTCTCATCTCAGTCAATACCTTTTATAAAATAGCAAGCAGAATCTACTTCTTCGGGGTCCCTGGATTTGTACATTTATTAGTTTCTTAAAATTTTATCTATACTGTACCCTGAAAGTTTTATATCCTAAATATTTCTGTAAACACTCCCTCAGTTTAGGCCTGCATCACCTTTTTTTCCCCACTATTCGTGCCTTCAGATTTGTCTTCCTCCAATTATTTGTATGCCCTTCAAATTCATCCCTCCCGTGGCGTTTAGAGTCACCCATCTCAAAAGCATACGTGACCATGAAGCCCTCTAAATCATATTAACATCTAGACCTCTTAAAATACCATTGATGCTTTCATAATCTGACTTCTGCCTGATTCTCCATCTCTAGCCCTTTCCACCCTTCCCTCTAGAATTCTGCATTGCTGTTGATACCCTCCTCACCTGTCCCTGTTGTTATTATTTAGTTGCTCAGTCATGTCTGATTCTATGTGACCCCATGGACTGCAGCACACCAGGCTTTCGAGCCCTTCCCCATCTCCCAGGGCTTCTCAACTCACATTCATGGAGTTGGTCATGCCATCCAACCATCTCATCCGTTGTCATTCCCTTCTCCTCTTGCCTTCAATCTTTTCCAGCATCAGGGTCTTTTCTAATGAGTCAGCTCTTCAAATCCAGTGGCTAAAGTACTGGAGCTTCAGTGTCAACATCAGGCCTTCCAGTGAATATTCAGAACTGATTTCATTGAGGACTGACTGGTTTGATCTTCTTGCAGTCCAAGGGACTCTCGAGTCTTCTACACCACAGTTGCAAAGCATCAGTTCTTCCGTGCTCAGTCTTCTTTTTGGTCCAACTCTCACATCCATACATGACTACTGGAAAAGCCTTAGCTTTGACTAGATGGACCTTTTTCAGCGAAGTAATGTCTCTGCTTTTGAATGCTTTGTCTAAGTTTGTCATATCTTTTCTTCCAAGGAGCAAGTGTCCTTTAATTGCATGGCTGCAGTCACCATCTGCATTGATTTTGGAGTCCACTGAAATAAAGTCTGTTACTGTTTCCATTGTTTCCCCATCTCTTTGCCACGAAGTGATGGGACCAGATGCCATGATCTCCATCAGCCATGTCCCTGCACTTTGACAAGTATCTACACTGTCGTGTGTGTGCGTCCCTTCCGTCTTGCTGCAGTCTTAAGTGCTCTCCCCCTCCTGCCCTCTGTTCCCTTGAACTGTGTAAGTCTCTGCTCAGGCATTCTGTCCAGGAAAGCCTTCCGTGACACCTTTTATCTACATTTCCCCTTAAACTCGAGGGTCTAGTACTGAGCAGAAACCCGAGAAATAATTATTGAATAAGAGACACAGGGGCTCTGTATCAACCTACAGGGGTGGGATGGGGAGGGAGATGGGATGGAGGTTCAGAAGGGAGGGGATACATTTATAACTATGACTGATTCATGTTGACATTTGACAGAAAACAACAAAATTCTGTAAAGCGATTATCCTTCAATAAAAAAAAAATGAAAAAAAAAAAGGACTGCTTGTACAAAGGTGATTTTTAAGAGCTTCTCCTGTGCAGTCTAGGAACTGAGAGGATAGACATATGAAGAAATAATTTACAGTTCAGATGTTTATCTGTCACTAGGAAAATCTAGAAAGATACACTAGAAAAATCTTTAAAGTAATAAGGTAGCTACACGGAAAGGCATACTTGTTTATCAGGGGAAAGATAGCAGTAATCCAAAGACAACTTCACAAAGCAGGTTGAGTCTTAAAAGATGAAAAGTAATTTGTCAGAAGAGTACAGGAAAGCATTTCAGGTGAAGGAACTGATAAAAGCTAAAAAGTAAGAAGAATTTTGTAAACCATGAATAATGTTGCAGTTGATGCTTGGCATGTTGTTAAAAAGGTCCTGTTATGAAGGAGAGAAGAGAATATATTGTGACTTTTTATGTCTGTCCTGTATTTTGAAATTTTGTTTGGTTTCTGATTGTTTTGTTCACTGATGTTTTTGTTCACTGATGTTTGGATGAATCTGTTAATGAAACTTTGAGCCATTTGCCTGTAACCTGGTGACATCTGGTATTTCCCAAATGGCTTGTTGAAGTTTTTAAATCATTGGAAGTAGTTCTTAAAGAAGTAAATATTCAGCTGAATATTTAAGATTGACTTAATCTGTCATTTGATACAATGTTGTAGATTTATGTTTTAAATGAAGATTGTGTCTTTTATCTAAACATTTTAAGTAATTTTAAGTAAACATACAGATTTGTCAACAGAACTAGATTTGGAAATGAAACCAGAGGAAGAACAAGAAAAACTTGATGAAGATGAAAATAGCCATTCACAGGTATGTAAAACTGTACATTTCAATTTCTGGTTTAATACTGTAGGAGAAAATGTGTATCAAACAAGGCAAATTAGAATGGAAAGATAAGTTAAAACCCATCACAATTGAGTTAAAGCAGAAGTTCGGTGAAATTTGGGAGGAATACCAAATTACCATTTGTCCTGTGAAATATCCACTGTGTGATAACCCTAAAGAAGAAACAAACCAAAAGAAAATATTTCCTAATCTCACAAATAATATACCTGATTGTGAGGAAAAAGATGCATTTGGAGTATTTGTCTCTCTAATTTTCCAAGCATTTCCTGAACAAAAAGAACCCAGTCTCAAAAATGTTTTTCCATCGTCTATAAACTCTGGGTCCCTGGGATAGACTTGTTGGTCATCTTCAAAGCTTTGTCTCCCTGAAAATAAAGTAGACTTTGAAAATGATCAACTAGACATTGAATATGTGTTTATCAAAGTTGAGGAGAGTTTTTATAATGATACAGAAAATAAAAAAGTAGGAGACCCTGTAGTTACATTTGAAGTGAAAGGACATCAAGAGATTGATATGCAAATATCACAAAATATGAGGCAAGATCCCACTAATCATAAATTAGACATGAGACAGGCATATCATTGTAGTCTGCAGCTTGTCTGCTCTGGTAAGATGAAACATATAATTCAAATAAAAATTCATGGTCCTCCTGCTGTTGTTAAAATACTTATCTGAAAAATAAAGCAATATAGGACTGGTTCCAGAAGCCACTGCATGAAGATAATTGCAGTGCTAGTGACAATAAAAGCATGGAACCCAAATTAGAAAATGGGAATTCTTCTCCACCTAATAGTCACAGCGCATCCAAAGTGCCTATAAATGAAGAATTAGAGAAGGNAGGTCGTGTTTATTTAGTTTAATCTTGTTTGCATTTCCAATTCTAGAAAGTTTATTGATTGTATGACATTATCTATAAAGTATTACAGTAAACTAATTGTACACAATACTTCTGTTCATGTATAGTTTTATGCTAAGGGCTTGTTCATTGGTTCTGAAGTATAATATTCCTATGTAATTGAATATGCAGATGATTACTTAAGCTAATTCTATCATATATTGACTTTCAAAAATTACATAATTGTGAATTTACAAACATTTAGGCCATACTGAATAGGATTTGATCATTCCTTGATGATTCTAGTTGATAGTAACATCGTGAGTAGCTATGATTTTGTAAGGTACTCTGAAATATCACATCATATTAACTTCATAGTTGTTTATAGATTCCATGGAAAAGGGGAAGATTTTGTTTATATTCAATAGAAAAAAAACATTAACAGTCTTTCACAAATTATTCCTTTTGGATGATTAAGATATAAATGACAAAACCTGTGCTTCCTGTACTAAGAGAGTCATTAACACATATTATGTGCTCAATAAGTGTATGTCAGATGCATGAAGAAACAGCAGAGTGGTTGAATGAATGCCTATTGATGAATTTCTTTACAAAAAAACAGAACTTTATTAAACTAGATTTCCAGTCTTGCCTACCTCTGAAGTCTTTTTAATTTTTGAGAAATATGTTTAAAGATTCAGAAATTATTCTTTATAGCTATATCTAGACATGAAATAATACTATAGATTCATTTGCTCTCATATTACTTAAAAAGACCTTTCAATTTTACTTTCTCAGCATATTTTGGAAGAGCAGTGTTGACGCCAGGTTTCCTGGGCTTGAATCCTGGGTCTGTGGGTGACGTGCTGAGTGGGCTTGAATCCTGGGTCTGTGGGTGACGTGTTGAGGGGCTTGGGTGAGTTCCTCAGCCTTTGTGCGCTCCATTTCTTCTATACCCATCTCCCAGAAAGACTGTGAAGATTAAATGCCTTTAAGACATGTCAAGTGTTTCTAATAATGCATAGCGATGCATAGGACATCCTCAAAAAACTAATATCTTGGTTATCCAAATAGGTTTCTTTCTTAGAAGGACTGAAGGAATACCTCCCAGATAGGTTTTATTGCCATGAAAGTTAGTTCTTATTGAAAAGGACAGGTGAAAAAAACACTGGTATACTGTTTCCTATCACATAATGCAAGTAACGTTATATTTTTTGTTTTCCTTGGATCTAACTTAAATCTTTATTAATATTACTGATATATTTTTTTGTCCTTTAATTCTCCTCTTATTTATTTTTGCATCCTCTTATAGAAAATTACTTGCCAATGCAAAGAGTTTGTATAAAAAAGAAAAGTTTAGGTATTGTTTGTATTTTTGAACATTTAATATTAACCTGAAAAGAATCATTTGTTTTTTTTAGGCCTGCGAAGAAAACACCATGTGAAAAGAAGAAGGTATAGTAAAAACAATGAACTTTCAAAAATATTATCCTTGTCGAAAATACTTTGTAAAAGGAATAGGGGTAAAATAGAAAATCTTCCTTTTTTGTAGATTAGTTTACTTTGCACTTATCATTTAGAAACACTGTTGATAAAATTATCCTTTTGACATGTTTCTTCTTTAAAGAAATGTCTGTTTTTGTTTTGATACAGAGATTTGTCACCTCTGTACACTTAGTATATTTTATACGTATTTTAAGGGCATTGTGAAACAGTATTATTTATGTGTAGGTCAAAGAACAAATTAATTACGTGAACAACCTGGATGACTTAACTCAGTTGTCTGAGACTGTTTCTGAGGATGGTGACGTGCTTTACTCCATGAATTCCACATTGCAAGTAGAACCTCTCGATGTGGAGTGTAAAGGAAGGACCACAGTGTAAATGTTAACAGAAAGCCTGTGTATAGAGTAGTGATATATGCACACCTTGTCAGTTCTGCTCTAGAGCCAGGGATATGTTACAGTGCCGTGCATCTCAGAAGTATGTTTTGCATTAAAAGGACATGAAGGTGAGTGTATACTCTGAGCCACAGGCCTGCGATCCTCCTCACTCACTGCACCTTCTGTTGACTCTTCTTTCCTGTGCCTTCACCCATGGTCAGGTCAGCTTCATTTTCCTCCTAGAGTAACTGAAATAATCTCAGGATTTCTTCCCCTGCCACTCCACCTGGCAGAACCTTGGTCTGTACAGGCAACTGTAATTATTGCCTATTTTGAAACATTTAGGTCTCCTCATGCTACCCCCTTGCTTAAAGCCCAACAGTTGCCTCTCTTGGCTGCATGGTTAAAGGTCAAAATTGTGTAGTTCCATCTGGTTTTAATTTTTACCCTTCTTTCTACTGAATTTTAGAATCAGCTTGTCAGTTCCTTAAAATGTCTGCTGGTCTTAGCATTTTCATTTACCTTCAGTTCAAAATACTTTGTCCTTTCTCTTTTCATTACCTCTTTGATCCAAGGGTTATTTAGATCCATGTGATTTAGTTTCCAAATATTGAATTTTTCAGAGATCCTTCTGTGCTCTTGCTTCTCATGATTTGTTAGGTGCATCCAGAGGGGCCCTGGGGCCAGGGCTGATTATTTCCTGCCTTGGAGGCAAGACCTTGCTGACAACCCTGTTCATTCGGTGGGTAAGTAGGAGTTTTCCCAGGCTGGTTCAGGAGAATAGGTAGAGTTCCTGGGAGTGAGCGAGCACCAGGCACGGCTTCCTGTAGTCTTTTCACATGGTCTCTCCCTGGTCTCAGGTGTTTTCTCACACATGTGCACTGTTCGTTCCTCTGCTTAATACCTGAGGGGCTCCTCCTCAGATCGCCAGGGTCCTTATTCTGTGTTCCACTCTCTCCTCTCCATGGTTCTGACCTGTGATCTCTGCCTGCGTTGGTTTCCCCAGACTCTCATCTTCATTACCTCCACTTGGGGAGGCCAGTGGACTCAGCTTCCATTCCTTCTCCCCATGTCGGGACATGGAAATTCTCTCCAGGCAGTGAGCTGGGGCGTTCCTTAAGCTAACCCCATGTGTTTCTAGAATCATTGTCCTTCATCCCCTGAAGTCCTTTGTCATGAAAGTAATTGTTTAATGTATTTTGTTGGTGTTGTTTTTGCTTGCTTCACTCAGGAAGGTAAATCCGTAGCTGTTCACTCTATCTAGGTCAGACACACATGGCAGCTGGCGACTGTCCACAGGGTTGTTCCTCCTACTCTGCTCACTACTTCCTACTTCGTATCTCAGTGTGACATCTCTTCCCCAGGGAAATGTTTCCTGGACCCAATCTGTGTCAAGTTCTGTTATGTTATCATAGAGCTCTCTTCTTATAGTATCTATCTGAGCTTATAATTATTTGATTTCTCTTTCTCTTGTACTAGACTTCAAGCTAAACAAAAGCCAGTGGTGTCTATTTTATCTTCAGACCTTAGAATAATGTCTTCCATGTTATTCAGTTCAGTTCAGTTCAGTCGCTCAGTCATGTCTGACTCTTGGTGACCCCATGAACCCCAGCACGCCAGGCTTCCCTGTCCATCACCAACTCCTGGAGTCCACCCAAACCCATGTCCATTGAGTAGATGATGCCATCCAGCCATCTCATCCTCTGTCGTCCCCTTCTCCTCCTGCTCCCAATCCCTCCCAGCATCAGGGTCTTTTCTAATGAGTCAACTCTTTGCATCAGGTGGCCAAAGTACTGGAGTTTCAGCTTCAACATCAGTCCTCCCAATGAACACCCAGGACTGATCTCTTTTAGGATGGACTGGTTGGATCTCCTTGCAGTCCAAGGGACTCTTGCCCAGAAAACAACTTAAGTATAGAGCAGATAAACAGTATACTACGAGAATTAAATCAGGAATAATAAACACATCCCTGTGAAGCTGGGCAACATTTCGGCTTTGAGCTGTTTTGAGATGCATATTTTCCCCCCCATTGTTTCCATATTTTGCACATTATCCACAAGTGAAAAGTGAAAGTGTTAGTCACTCAATCGCATCCAACTCTTTATGACCCCGTGGAGTATAGCCCACCAGGGTCCTCTGTTCATGGAATTCTCCAGGCAAGAATCCCAGAGTGGGTCGCCATATCCTGGTCCTGGGGATCTTCCTGACCCAGGGATCGAACCTGGATCTCCTGTGTTGCCAGCAGATTCTTTACCGTTTGAGCCACCAGGGAAGCCGATTGTCCACAAAACACAACTAGAAAGGCAGTGCAATTGCCACATCCTTTACTTCTCAAAGTTCTGAGGTCCTCTACAGTTGGACTGCAGATGTTTGTTCAGAAACAGTGTGGTATTTTAAAAATCTACGTGTGAAGTATTTCCTTGAGAGTTCAGGGGTTAAAACTCTGCCTTCCAAGGCAGAGGGTATGGGTTTGATCCATGGTCAGGGAGCTAAGATCTCATGTGCATCACAGCCAAAAATCCAAAGCATAAAACAGAAGCAGTGTTGTAGTAAATTCAATAAAGACTTTAAAAATGGTCCATATCCAAAAAAAAATCTTAAAAACAGAAACAAACCTATGTGTGAGAATAATTATTTTAAATCTGCATTTTAGACTTGAAATTGAAAATGCCAAGTTAAAAACTATAGTCAAAAAGCAAGTGGACAAAGTTGAACAACTTCAGAAAACCCTTTCAAGTACAAGATTGGTAAGTCAACCTCTTAATTTCTGTCATACTGAGGAAGAATTTTAATTTTTTTACTAGTAATATACGACAATATTTTTGGACAGTGTGAAAAACCTCTTTGATTAAAGAGTTTATTGTGAGAGAACAGCATCGAAACATGTATATTATCAAGTGTGAAACAGATGGCCAGTCCAGGTTGGATGCATGAGACAAGTGTCGGGGCTGGTGCACTGGGATGACCCAGAGGGATGGGATGGGGAGGGAGGTGGGAGGGGGGTTCAGGATGAGGAACACATGTAAATCCATGGCTGATTCATGTCAATGTGTGGCAAGAACCACTACAATATTGTAAAATAATTGGGAAAAAAATAAAGAGTTTATTGTATTTTTACTGATATTGTTTGCTACTGGTAGCATAATTCCTCTTTATAGAAGAAGTGGACTGAAATCATAAAATTAATGATTTTTGTAGTAAGATTTTAATTTAAAATATTGTGAGAATCCAGCCGAAAAGCAGTATTTTATACAGGCCACATTTTGTTTGTTCATTCCTCTGTCAATGAAATTGGGGTTTTTCCACTTCCTGGCTATTGTTAATAATGCTGCCATAAACATTGGTACACAAATATCTGTTTGAGTCTAGAAATTTTAGCAATGATTTGATTGCAAATTCTGAATTTCTCTTGTAATCCAAACCCTTCTGTGAGATTTTAGAGAATGAATCATTTTTAATATTGCTGTTTGTTCACTTCACCAGGAATGAATACTGTGTCTCTATAGAATACTTCTTTCTGAAAGAATATATTTTTTCCTTTGTTGGATTTCTCTTTAAAGAGGTGGGGTTTGCATGGGATTTTTTTCAAAGATTATTTTAGTAAGATGTGATTTAACAAAACCTGGAATATCTTGAACCACTGATGAAAATTAGTTTAGAGCATCTTTAGAAAGTAAAATGTAATTATAGCCACACTTTAAAAAACTTTTATTAGCATTTAGTATTTTATGTCAGTTCAGTTGCTCCATTGTGTCCAACTCTGCAAACCGATGGCCTGCAACAAGCCAGTCTTCCTTGTCCATCACCAAATCCTGGAGCCTACTCAAACTCATGTCCATTGAGTCAGTGATGCCATCCAACCACCTCATTCTCTGATGTCCCCTTCTCCTCCTGCCTTCAATCTTTTGCAGCATCAGGGTTTTTCCCAGTGAGTCAGTTCTTCATATCAGGTGTTCAAAGTATTGGAGCATCAGCTTCAGAATCCATCATATGAATATTCAGGACCGGTTTCCTCTAGGACTGACTGGTTGGAACTCCTTGCAGTCCAAGAGACCCTCAGAGTCTTCTACAACACCACAGGTTGAAAGCATCAATTCTTTGGTGCTCATCCTTCTTTATGGTCCAACTCTCACATCCATACATGACTATTGGAAAAACCATAGCTTTAACTATACAGACCTTTGTCAGCAAAGTAATGTCTCTGCTTTTTAATATGCTGTCATAGCTTTTCTTCCAAGGAGCAAGCATCTTTTAATTTCATGGCTGCAGTCACCATCTGCAGTGATTTGGGAGCCCCCAAAAATAAGGTCTCTCACTGTTTCCACTGTTTCCCCATCTACTTNTTCTCTGTTCGGGTACTGTTGAAACCTCACTTGGTTGAGCATTACTTTGCTAGCATGTGAGATGAGTGCAGTTGTGCAGTAGTTTGAACATTCTTCGGCATTGCCTTTCGTCGGGATTGAAATGAAAACTGACCTTTTGCAGTCCTGTGGCCACTGCTGAGTTTTCCACATTTGCTGGCATATTGAGTGCAGCTCATTCACAGCATCATCTTTTAGGTTTGAAAGAGCTCAACTGGAATTCCATTACCTTCACTATCTTTGCTTATTTCTTAAGGCCCACCTGACTTTGTACTCCGGAATGGCTGTCTCTAGGTGAGTGATCACACCATCATGGTTATCTGGGTCATGAAGATCTTATTTGTACAGTTCTTTTGTGTTCTTGCCACGTCATTTTAATATCTTCTGCTTTCTGTTAGGTTCATACCATTTCTGTCCATAATTGGCCTATCTTTGCATGAAATGTTCCCTTGGTATCTCTAATTTACTTGACGAGATCTCCAGTCTTTCCCAGTCTGTTGTTTTCCTCTGTTTCTTTGCATTGATCGCTGAGGAAGGCTTTCTTATCTCTCTGTGCTATCCTTTAGAACTCTTTAGCTGAAGTTGAGCAGTTCTATGATAACCCACAAGACCTTCTAGAACTAACACGGGGGAAAAAAGTGTACTTTTTTATCATAGAGGACTGGAATGCAAAGTAGGAACTCAAGAGATATGTGGCTTAACAGGCAAGTTTGGCCTTGGAGTACAAAATGAAGCAGGGCAAAGGCAAACAGATTTTTGCCAAGAGAACCCACTGGTCATAGCAAACACCCTCTTCCAATAACACAGTAGGTGAGTCTATACATGGACATCACCAGATGGTCAATTTTATGTGTAGAAACCTCTCTATTTAACAAATAAATGTTGCCAGTTTAAATTCCAGAAAAATGATGAAATGATGAAAAATCATTTTAAGCTGTTTGAAGCAAAGTCATTCATTTTGAAATCTGTCCTTACTGGTATCAGGTTTATAAACTCCATTGACTACAAATGCTTGTCACTCGTGAACTCATGAAAGATAATATTATTTTTTTATTTCTGCGCTTGCAGTCTGAGCTCTGTGCTGTCCTTTTCTTAAGAAATGACCTCTGTCTATAGGTGACTCATATTTCCTGAGCCAGATTCCTCTTTATTGAACTTCTAAGAAAATCCCAAGGCCTCTTCTCATTTTGTATGTCTTGGTCTCTCGGTTGGACTTCCCTGGTGCCTCAGACAGTAAAGAATCTGCCTGCAATGCAGGAGACCCAGGTTTGATCCCTGGGTTGGGAAGAGCCCCCGGAGAAAGTGAAAGTGGAAGTCACTCAGTCGTGTCTGACTCTTTGAGAACCCATGGACCATATAGTCCATGGCATTTTCCAGGGCAGAATACTGGAGTGAGTAGCCTTTCCCTTCCCTAGGGGATCTTTGCAACCCAGGGATCGAACCCAGGTCTTCTGCATTGTGGGCAGATTCTTTACCAGCTGAGCCACAAGGGAAGCCCAAGAACACTGGAGTGGGTAGCCTATCCCTTCTCCAGCGGATCTTCCCGACCCAGGGATCAAGCCAGAATCTCCTGTACCGCAGGCGGATACTTTACCAACTGAGCTATCAGGGAAGCCCTATCCCCTGGAGAAGGAAATGGCAAGCCACTCCAGGGTTCTTTCCCAGAGAATCCCATCCGTGGACAGAAGAGCCTGGTGGGCTTCAGTCTATGGGGCACAGAGGCAGACATGACTGGGCGGCTCACACTTGGTTTCTGTTAGGTCAAACAAACAAGCAGTGTTTTTGCTGCCAAGGTTCTTTTTAAAGCTCCTAGTGTCCTGTGAATTTGATTGGGGTTCACGCCATTGAAAAAGTTACCCTCCAAAATCTTTTCTGAAGGAAGCCCTGCACCTTGGGCTTCCTGTGAAACTTTGCAGGATGACACTTTTAGCGTTCTTTTGCTCTTAAGATCCTTAAAGGAACCTGAGGCACCACCTTAAGTCTTTCCAGGGTCTTACACTTACAGTCTACAGGTTTTACCTTTAGACCGTGTTTTCCTGGCAGCACCCTAGATTTGATCTTAGCCCAGAAGCCATTTCTGTCCTTTAGCATCCTGTGACCATTGGACATGTGGAGATGCTGTAAAAGGGATACAGATATTGAAGCCAGTGAGTCTTGGTTCCTTTATATTTAATAGCACTTTTAAATTTTTCTGATAGCTTATCCCTCTCATTGATTTACTTTCAGCTGCTTTAAAGCAAGAGTCTCCTCCTCCCATGTTTCAGTGTCCGTTTCTTCTCTTGCCTAGAAGCCATCACCAGCAGCATCTTCAAGGACCATCAGGCTTCTGTGTACAATGTCATGAAGCCCATTGGGTTTTCATGTCTTTCTCTGCATCCATTCAAGTGCAACCTACCTCCAGGTTCAAAGGCATTCTCGCATGTTTCAGCTCTTTTTTAACGGCAGTACCTCATTTGGGGGCATCACCGACTCGATGGACATGAGTTGTGCAAGTTCTGGGAGTTGATGGTGGCCAGGGAAGCCTGGCGTGCTGCAGTCCATGGGGTCACAAAGAGTCAGACGTGACTGAGCGACTGAACTGAACTGAACCCCATGTTTACTATCAGTGTCTGTGCCAGTTATTTATTGTTAACAAACTTCATTAGAAACCACCTCAAAGCCCAGTGACTCAGACAGCGTTTCCTTTGTTCACAAGTCTGCGCTGGCGCAAGGCTCAGTGCGTGAGCCCCGCTCATTTCTTCTCCAGTTGCATCAGCCGGGATGTCGTGAAGGTGGGGACCAGAGTCGTCTGAAGACTTCCTCGTGCACATGTCTGGTGTTGGAGCTGGCTTTTGGAGAGGCCATTAGCTGGGGGCAGTCAGTGGGGACACTGACATGTGCTCAGTGTGTGTGGGCTGTGCTTCTTCACAGCATGTTGACTGAGTCTAAGAGTTGGCTTCCCCACAGAGCGACATTCAGAAGCTATTTAGCTTTAAAACTCACACAACAGTTTCCCCAGACTCTGTCCAGGAGGACTCAGTTACTAGGACTAACACATACTTGAGGAGAGGGAATTTCATGAGAAAAGTGTCAAAGAATTTGGAGACATGTTTGAAAACCACGGGCTCCACTCACGTTGACTTACCAAGTAATCATTCTGTCTAAAGGAAAGTTCTTTCCAATTCAGTGTCACTGATATTCCAGTAAATATTTTTTCTTTCTTTTGTTTGGTATGTCTCTTATTCTGCGGAAAGTAAGAAAGGGTTACAAGAATGAGGCATTTTTTTGTTGTTCAGAAAAATGTATGGATCATCTCACTAAACTCTTAGGAGATGGGATTTCTTTAACCTTTCTTTAACCTTGTGACTCATGTTTCTTTGGAATGCAATTCAAATTAGCAAAGACTGTTTGTAGTTCAGGAAAAGGCTTATTGGATTAGAATCCATATTTCCAAGATTTAACTAATTAGAGTCTTATTTTCACAATCTTCTTTTGGGAGGCATTTATTAAGTCAGCCCTAGATAACTCAATACAGGATACCTCAAAGTTCTTTAAAAACCATGGGATAAGATGGGAGAAAGGGGCACGAGACATTCTACTAGGAGGTGGCTTGCAGTCATTCTACAGAGGAATGATAGAAAAGTATTACTGTAGAACAATAAAAGAGTGTAAAATCAAGTGCAAATGGTGTGAGACTAAGATGATAGTGAAGAGTGTATTTTGTGACTCTTGGTGGTTTGAACTTCTTTCTTGATTCTCTGAGTTATTCCAGGTCCTACATTCTCCAATACAGATACCATTGTATATATTTGATCCTCAGTTTGAGTGAGGCTGTGCTCAGTCCACTTTCCTCAGAACCAAATGGTATTGTTTTATTTTTGCAGATTGATCATCTTCCAGCAGAGCTGGGAGCTGGCTGTTCACAGTGTCTGCACCTGGATGCAACATATCAAGTTCTTCAACGGGAGTTGTTATCAATGAAAGGATGGCAAAGGAAATGTGAGAAACTAGAGAAAGAGAGCAGGAAGTTGGAGCAAGAAGTAGTGAAACTCAAAAGTCATACAGAACTGAAGATGATAGAACACACTCAAGTTGAGCAGTATAAACGGGAGATTGAAGAAAGAGCACGACAGGACCTCATAGAGAAATTGAAAGAAGTCAACCTATTTTTGCAGGTTAATTTGTTGATCTGTCATGTGCTTGAATTCACCTCACTGTAAACTACGTTTTGGATGGATACAGCTTATGTGTTTNTGTGTGGAGGATGGAAGGGGCAGATCCCACCTGCAGTGCCGAGTCCAGCTTTCCCCACTGTCTGAAAGCAGAGCCCTCCTAGGACGCCTTCCATAGGCCGAAACAGCATAAAGCAAAGAAGCAGGTACCCGAGCACACATTCTGCTAGTCGATGCTAAAATGAATATGCACAAGTGAAGCACAGGTGCTCCCAGACAAGGTTCAGGGCTGTGGCGACTTGATGCTGAGACGTGGGGTGTGGCTCCCAGGGAAGGAGCTCGGAGGGGCCAATCTGCCTGCTTGGGGAGCGTGATGCCTCTCACTGTAAAAACATACGTTGAATGCTGTTTTGACTTTTTGCCTTTTTAAATGAAACCAAAAATTCTTCTTCCAATTTTTTTTTTTTTTTTATTATGAAATACAGGAGCCCATGTAGGCGTTTTCTAGAAGTGAAGTAACATAAAATGAACTTTGGAAAAGCAGGGGATACTTGTCCTTGTTACTGGGGCTGTTTTAGCCCTTTTGTCACCCATTGACTTTCTTGTCCTCCCCTCGAGATTGTGGCTCTAGAAGATTCCTCAGAGCCAAATGCTTAATTTCTGCATGGTCATGAGTGGAAGGTACATACAAGAATGGTGAACGTGGCTCTGTGGGGTGGTGTGCTGCTCCATCTCTGAGCTGTTTCCTGGAGGCAGGCGTGTCCCAGAGGCCGCAGGGGTCTCTGTGAGGTCACCTCCTGTTCTCTCTGATGCCCTTCCTCTCCTCTCCCAGCTGTGACTTGTTACCTGAGGCGCCCAGACACACGTGCGCTTCTTTAGAGCAAGGTCACAGCTGTCACTGTTTACAGTGGGTCTGCTCTGTTTTCAGTGTTCTAACAGTGTAATGGGAATGCCACTTACTATATGGCAACTTAACAAATGCAAGTCACTTAGGGAAGCATGAATGAAACTGGTTTTCCATCTTCCCCAGGAAAAATGAGAGGCTGGCAGAGATGAGCACCAAACTTGAGGTGGAGAAACAGCAGAGCAGATCTTTACTCAGAGCTCTCACCACGAGGCCAGTCCTGGAGCCCCCTTGCATTGGAAATTTCAATAATACTGAAATGTTCAAAACAAATCTTTGTCCAAGAGCAAATGTAGAGTTTTCTACCTCAGTTCCACTCCTGTCAAATAACAGCATGGTAACTTCCTTGATGGAGGTTATTTCTATTATCTTTTTTTTTCCTTGGGTTTCAGATTTCTTGTATGAATGATTCTTGGTTTTAATTTGAACTTCTGAGTTGTTTATTTGACTTATATCCACTAAGTAAAAGTCATGATTAATAAAAATTGTGATTGTTTTTTCTCCTAGATTTCTCATTTTTAAGAGATACTCATTAACTTCTTAAATTTACTGAAAAGCTGGATTTAAATTCTACTATAGAAATGAAATCTTATTGCCAAGTAACCGAAAGTATACTTTCAGATGTTTGACTTAATTGATTTCACTTTGGCAGTGCTTCATAATCATTTCTGAGCTCTGCTGCGCCCACCGCAGTTTTTCTACCCCTAAGCATAAGTGAATGACTGGCATCTAAACATTAACCACATATGGGTGTTTTTTTATTTGAAGGAATCCTAGCTAAATCCTTTTTATGAATTAAACAAACTTGTAATACTAAATCGAAAGATTAATTTTTGATTTTAGGTTATCATTTTTTGTCATTTTCTTACACAGGAGTACATCTTTAATTGCTATTTTACTTATAGCCTTTTTATTTAAATTTCTAGAAAATATCTTTCTGAGCAATTGTAAAATGTTTCTAAATTTGTAGTTAAAGGAAACATTAAAATTTTTTAAATGAAACTCCCTTTTGTCTCTGTCTTGACAGCATCTGGATGAATGATGACTAAGGTAGTAATGATGGGGAGTCTTTAAATTGCAACTAGTTTTCATCATGTACCCATTGTGATTAAAATATCCAGTCAATGCACATGGGTTTATGGTTTTGATGGTGTTTTCATGATGTTGGTGATGCAGAGAAAAGTTCAGTTTAGTTTAGTCGCTCAATTGTGTCTGACTCTTTGTGACCCCATGGACTGCAGCATGCAAGGCTTCCCTGTCCATCACCAACTCCTGGAGTTTACTAAACTCATGTCCATCGAGTCGGTGAGGCCTTCCAACCATCTCATCCTCTGTTGTCCCCTTCTCTCTCCTCCTGCCTTCAATCTTTCCCCGCATCAGGGTCTTTTCCAGTGAATCGGTTCTTCACATCAGGTGGCCAAAGTATTGGAGTTTCAGCTTTAGCATCAGTCCTTCCAATGAATATTGAGGACTGATTTTCTTTAGGATGGAACAGTTAGATCTCCTTGCAGTCCAAGGGACTCTCAAGGGTCTTCTCCAACACCACAGTCCAACAGCATCAATTCTTCGGTGCTCAGCTTTCTTTATAGCCCAACACTCACATCCAGAGAAAAGCAGCCCTTGTTAAATGCAGTCTCAGCCTGTTTTCTCATTTGGCTTCTTGCTGTTGTAGAAGAGCAGTCTAAGGTTTCTTTGATAGCACTGTGGCTATGTTGGGTCTTAGTTCTTGAGAGCCATGAACCTGGAGGACGTGCTTTAGCTGCAGTCACAGCGGGCCTCCAAACACTTCATCCCAAGTCAGATACTTCCCCACGCAGGCCTAAGAGGAGGAAGTAAATGCTTGCCCACCGTCGCAGGGGCAGGCTGCCTACTGTAGACCCAAGTTCATGGTGCTATGGGCACGTACATCTTTTCAAAGAAGAGATTCGGAACCAAGCAAGCACTTCTTAGTTCCTTCTCCCAGACTCATAGCATCAGGGTCTTTTCCAGTGAATCGGTTCTTCACATCAGGTGGCCAAAGTATTGGAGTTTCAGCTTTAGCATCAGTCCTTCCAATGAATATTGAGGACTGATTTTCTTTAGGATGGAACAGTTAGATCTCCTTGCAGTCCAAGGGACTCTCAAGGGTCTTCTCCAACACCACAGTCCAACAGCATCAATTCTTCGGTGCTCAGCTTTCTTTATAGCCCAACTCTCACATCCAGAGAAAAGCAGCCCTTGTTAAATGCAGTCTCAACCTGTTTTCTCATTTGGCTTCTTGCTGTTGTAGAAGAGCAGTCTAAGGTTTCTTTGATAGCACTGCGGCTATGTTGGGTCTTAGTTCTTGAGAGCCATGAACCTGGAGGACGTGCTTTAGCTGTGCAGTCACAGCGGGCCTCCAAACACTTCATCCCAAGTCAGATACTTCCCCATGCAGGCCTAAGAGGAGGAAGTAAATGCTTGCCCACCGTCGCAGGGGCAGGCTGCCTACTATAGACCCAAGTTCATGGTGCTATGGGCACGTACATCTTTTCAAAGAAGAGATTCGGAACCAAGCAAGCACTTCTTAGTTCCTTCTCCCAGACTCACCTGTTAGGTAAATCTCCTCGCTTCTCATGAGGAGAGTAGGAGTATAAGTCCTCCCCTTGAAACTTCAGGCTGAGGAAATGAAGTTCAACTGTAATTTCTGAATGGATTTAGATTATAGTTGAAATTACACTCATACTTTTTGTATATACCAACTAATGATGAGAACTTGGATAGAAATATGCTAGACAGTAAAGAGAGATCTGTTTTGTGTTTTACATTTTGTCCTAAATAATCTAAAATGTGGATAATTCATTTGTTGACAAATTTTAATAAGCTAGGTTTTATTGGAGGAAATGAACATCCTTTTAAGGATGAATCTCTTCAGTTTTGGCCTGCTTGATTCAACTAAAGATTTTCTTCTTCAGGTTCCCTGTCCTGTGTTTAAAAAACTGTTATGCTGTGTAAATTAACTATGTCAACTGCTACAAATAGGATTTCGATAAGAATTTATTCTTGTTCATGCCTTTAAAACATATAATTTAGTTAGAAAGCTACTATGTCATGTCATGCCACAAGCATTATTGAACTATATAACAGGGTTTTACATACTCGTTTTCTCTATGTTTTAGTTAGAATTTATGTGTTTTTTCTTAATATGAGGAAGTAGCTGGCATAGGACTCCGGACTCAGTAAGAAGGCCATTGGCTTTGTTACTACTTTTGTAGAATTAGGAACTTTGTCTAAATCGATGTCTCATATCCTTACAAAATTTTTTTTTTCAAAATAAATAACCTTTCTTTAAAACAAAACAAACAAAAAACTGTTGTGTGGAACTGTATTATATAAAACGGAGACAAGTATAGAGCCCTTTAGCTAAAGGAGCATTCCGAGACCCTGGCAGCTGTGACTTCTGTTCCTCAACCCTGCAGGGACCCCTGTGGGACCTTCCCCTTCTATGGTACATAGTTCAGAAACTAGCACTTATGAGAGAACACTTCTCATTAAACATCTTCAGAATTAAATCTTACTGGCACATTGTTTTCTTGTGTATAATCTTCTCACCTTTCTATGTTTTCATTAAATGGAAAAGTTTAAATAAAATCACAGAGTGTTCTCCTTATAAACATTCAACTTCAAACTACTTCCTCCATTTGAACACGACCCTCACCTAGAAATCAAAATAAAGGTCTCAGAAGTACATATTTAGGGCAGGAGCTGTTAGGTGAGGAGATGGTAATCTTGTGGGTCATTCCTAGGATTCTGGGTCATTCCCTAATCTCTGAATTTATGTGTACTCAATGGACTGACATTTATTGTACTTTTATCAAATTAATCTAAATAGCATTCCATATATATGTTCTCTGTTATCTAAAAGCAGAGTAAGTAGGAATTCATTTTCTTTTATTTATGTGATTATTTTTCTCCTAAGTAATCTTCAAGTGAGGTATAGTCTCTAAAGGTATTATTTAACTGTCACATGTAGTAAGTTGTATATCATTTCTATGATAACATCTCTTGTTTAACTTAAGCATCAATAATATTTTACTTATTTCAGATGCAGCAGAAGTTGGAAAAGAGTAGAACTAGAGAACTAGAAGAAGGTATGTTGCCAAAACGTATGAATTAAATTTAGACATTGATTTCTGAAATACTGTTAAGAGTAAGTGGCATCTCTTTCCATTGTTTGTATAACAGATGCTATGTTATATACTTCTTCTTATACATAGCTAATGAAAAATGTGAAAACATGAGCAGTCATAGTGAAAAATATCCTTATTCCTTATTTATTTATTGTGTTCCTTACCTTTAAAAAACATCTGAAAAGGTCTATGTATTCCTTTTCATTTCTGGCTATATCCTTCCTCCACTGCCTCCATCCCTGGGGAGCTGTCAGCCTGCACCCTGACACTATTCTCAGAAGACGTGGAATTCATCAGCACCTCCAGTGTCTGTAGTGGTTAAGGCTGGGAACCCAGACTCAAGCAGTCACGTTTGTGTAGCAGTCACTTGGTGGGTGACTTTAAAATCTCCCTGTCATTCACTTTCTCACTAGTTTATCTTTTGCGCTCAGGAAGAACTCCAAACACCCATCCCCTGTGGGACCTTCCCCTTCTATGGTACATAGTTCAGAAACTAGCACTTATGAGAGAACACTTCTCATTAAACATCTTCAGAATTAAATCTTACTGGCACATTGTTTTCTTGTGTATAATCTTCTCACCTTTCTATGTTTTCATTAAATGGAAAAGTTTAAATAAAATCACAGAGTGTTCTCCTTATAAACATTCAACTTCAAACTACTTCCTCCATTTGAACACGACCCTCACCTAGAAATCAAAATAAAGGTCTCAGAAGTACATATTTAGGGCAGGAGCTGTTAGGTGAGGAGATGGTAATCTTGTGGGTCATTCCTAGGATTCTGGGTCATTCCCTAATCTCTGAATTTATGTGTACTCAATGGACTGACATTTATTGTACTTTTATCAAATTAATCTAAATAGCATTCCATATATATGTTCTCTGTTATCTAAAAGCAGAGTAAGTAGGAATTCATTTTCTTTTATTTATGTGATTATTTTTCTCCTAAGTAATCTTCAAGTGAGGTATAGTCTCTAAAGGTATTATTTAACTGTCACATGTAGTAAGTTGTATATCATTTCTATGATAACATCTCTTGTTTAACTTAAGCATCAATAATATTTTACTTATTTCAGATGCAGCAGAAGTTGGAAAAGAGTAGAACTAGAGAACTAGAAGAAGGTATGTTGCCAAAACGTATGAATTAAATTTAGACATTGATTTCTGAAATACTGTTAAGAGTAAGTGGCATCTCTTTCCATTGTTTGTATAACAGATGCTATGTTATATACTTCTTCTTATACATAGCTAATGAAAAATGTGAAAACATGAGCAGTCATAGTGAAAAATATCCTTATTCCTTATTTATTTATTGTGTTCCTTACCTTTAAAAAACATCTGAAAAGGTCTATGTATTCCTTTTCATTTCTGGCTATATCCTTCCTCCACTGCCTCCATCCCTGGGGAGCTGTCAGCCTGCACCCTGACACTATTCTCAGAAGACGTGGAATTCATCAGCACCTCCAGTGTCTGTAGTGGTTAAGGCTGGGAACCCAGACTCAAGCAGTCACGTTTGTGTAGCAGTCACTTGGTGGGTGACTTTAAAATCTCCCTGTCATTCACTTTCTCACTAGTTTATCTTTTGCGCTCAGGAAGAACTCCAAACACCCACATCAATTTGGGTCCCGCCAAAGAAGTCGGCCTTATCTCTTCACCACCCTCCTCTGCCCCTCAGCCCTGCATCTAACCAGCCAGACTGTGTAGGATCCCACAGGAGTGCTTCCTCACCTCCGGTCTTTGTACGTGCATCTCCCCTTCGCCTGCTGCGCTTTCTCCTCTCCTTCAGGTAGCCACTTCCACAGCACCTGCACCAGAAAGCCGGCAGCATTGACACAAAGCTGGCTGTCCCTTCTGAGTGTTCCTTGTGCCATCTTTTGTGTCTGAGTGTTTATGACTCTGCATGGAAATTGCCTGTTCATCTGTTTTTCCACTTTATAGCGTATCATTGTCAGGGTGAACTGGGTCACCTTCAGCTTGTACTTCCATGGCTTGTCACAGCACTTTGCACATAGTGACTGAGTAAATGAATGAAGGATGAGAAAACCAGAAGCTCTGACACTCAGCCACACATTCAGTAATGGGCAAATCATGGAATTCTCTTGTATTTTGTGTCATGTCATATATAGATATGTTTCATTCTTCGGAACATTAGGAAAGGTCTCAGGGTTTTTTTTGTTTGTTTGTTTTAGCTGACACTTTGTGAACTCAAGTATTTTAGATTAAGAATATAATTCTATCTCTTTCCAGGTGCTGCTGAATTTGAATCTGAATACTTCTAGAGTGTCCTCTCTATTATCTACAGGTGGACCAAATCTATACCAGGCCCTACCTGTGAAAAATAAGATATACAGATTTTAGTATGACAAAAACCACTGCAATGTTGTAAAGTAATTAGCCTCCAACTAATAAAAATAAATGGAAAAAAAAAAGATATACAGATTTTGAAGAAAAAATATATCATTTGAAAACTCAATAGTAAAAATTTCCCTGTTTCCTTGACATGTTTAGTTCTCATTAAACATCATGAGAAAATCTTTATTAAAGGAAAGTATTCTTGTATTGTGTATGTATCATGAAACTTTATATGGCATTTTAAGCCATGTTTCTCTACGTCTAACTTACTTTTAAGCAGAAACATTAGCACTGTTGAGTTTTCCGTATTCAAAGTCAACGTGTTAGTCACTCAGTCATGTCCGACTCTTTACGAGCCCATGGACTGTAGCCCACCAGGCTCCTATGTCCCTGGAATTCTCCAGGCAAGAATAATAGTGGGGAGCCATTCCCTTCTCCAGGGGATCTTCCACACCCTGGGATCAACTGGAGTCACCTGCATTGCAGTTGGATTGTTTACCATTAGAGTTACCAGAGATGCTCTTTATCAACTCAAACTGAGCCCTAATACCAGCTGTTTAAACAGCATCAGAACAACCATACTTGTCATTACTATTTAGTGGTGTTGATTGATAGTTTTTTTGTATTTTCTAGTTTTTATCACTATATATAAACCTAAAGATTTAGCTACTGCTGTTATGGCTACTGTCAATGTTTTGAGGTATTTTAACTGTTAATAGTGGCATAAAACTTACTATATGTAACTTTGAACATTGATTCATAGATCTTTCCTCATGGGGAAATAAGATTTACCTGAGTTTTTGCCTTTTAAATGAATTAATTAACTTTTCATAATTTTTATTTTTAATTAGAGGATAATTACTTTACAATATTTTGATGGTTTCTGCCATACATCGACCTGAATCAGCCATAGATATACATTTGAACCCTCCTTTCTGAACCACCCTCCCACCTGCTTCCCGATTCCAGCACTCTATTTGTCACAAACCACCAACTTTGGATTCTCTGCACCATACAGAAAATTCCAAAAAGACACGTGTACCCCAGTGTTCATTGCAGTATGTCCATAGCTTAAAAAAAATAGTCTGAAAAGGTCTATGTATTTCTTTCATTCTTTTCATTCTATGTACTTCCTAGCATTTGCAATAGCTAGGACATGGAAGCAACCTAGATGACCATCAACAGATGAATGGATAAAGAAGCTGTGTATTATTCAGTTATAAAAAGGAATACATTTGAGTCAGTTTTAATTGACTTTTTATTTACTTTTGGAAAGAGTCTTAAAATTAGAGAAAAGCTCCTCATAGATAAACAAGATTTGCCTAAGACTTTTCACCTTTCTTTACCTATCAACTTATCTATTTTTGTTTGATTTTTGGAAAAAGTCTTAAAATTAGAGAAAAGTTCCAAGCACCAGACAGACATTTTCACAAAACTCCCCTATCTCCCATATATCCTCCTAAAGTACCATTTATCTTTCCTAAATGTTATTTGTTCCCCCATAAATGCCCCTCCTCCCCCAAGTCACCTGTTTTCCAGATGTCTTTATCTCCTACTCCCTGTCATTTATTAGGTAGTATATCAACTCCCAGTTGTAGCCTCCCCTTCAAGTCACATTTCTGTGTGAAGGTTTGCATGTTGTTGTTATTGTTGAGTCGATCAGTTGTGTCCAACTCTTTGTGACCCCATGGGCTGCAACACTCCAGGATTCCCTGTCTGTCACCATCTCCCAGAGTTTGCTCAAATTCATGTCCATTGAGTCGAAGATGCCGTCTAACCATCTCATCCTTCTCCTCCAGCCCTCAATCTTTCCCAGCATCAGGGCCTTTTCCAATAAGCTGGCTCTTCACATCAGGTGGCCAAAGTATTGGAGCTTCAGCATCAGCCCTTCCAATGAAAATATTCAGGGTTGATTTCTTTTAAGATTGACTGGTTCATTCTCCTTGCTGTCCAAGGGACTCTTTAGCACCACAGTTTGAAAGCATGAATTCTTCAGCACTTAGCCTTATGGTCCAAATATCACATGTGTACATGACTGCTATAAAGCTATTATGTGTTTTTTCTCATGGTTATCTGCTTTTATCAATTTAATTTGCAGATTCCCAAACACAAACCTAAGAGGGTGGAGCAAGTGCTTTCCTCCAAAATTCCAAGAGCTGACAAGTTACTAATGCTCACTTAATCCTGATCCCCTTTTCCTTCTGTCCTCTCAAGGTCTGACCTGGCAGAGCTCCAGTTTCATGTGAGACTCTGATCCTTCTCCCCCCCTCACTCTCTCCATGTCTAGGTGCTGCACTGCCCAGTGATCCTACTACTTTATTTCGTTAATTTGTATCTTCTGATGATGATTGCAGATGTCCTTTCTATAAATTTTTCACCCTGCTCCTCCCCTCTCATTTGTACCAGACAATCTTAGGTCCCACAACAAACTTCTTGAAAGGTTTGCCTGTATCTCTAACAACCCTAGACTGTCTTCCCTCTTTCCCTCAAAACTGCTCCCAAGTCACTGATGACTTCCACATCACTGAATCAAAGCCACACCTTTCCAGTCCTTGTCTGTCTGAATTTCTGCTTCCTCTTGGTGTTCACTGTCACTGACCAGGAACTGGGGTTTGAAGGGCTGGGAGCAAGGCCTCTGCAGGTATCACCCTGTGAGCAAGAGGAACCAGACTAAACACAAGGGAAAGGAGGTTAGTATTTTTATTTCCAAGTTTGTTTTTTCTTTTTTTTTATTGCAGTAGCTGTCCATGGGCTTTGCTGGTAACAAAATCTGTCAAGGAGCCAGATCTGGGCCTCATCCCTCCTTGAAATATAAATTCTTATGGAGACGGAGCATCTTTGGGGGATCTACTCTGAGCTATAATATTTAGTTTCCTTGGGGAGATGAGACTATGAATCCTTTCAGGTTGAAGCAATTCATTAGATGAACGGCTGCAGTTATCTGCGCTGAAGAGCTCAGACGATCTGGCTTTTTACAGGACTACTGAGAAATTCCAGGGAAGTTTGTTTCCCCCCAGTTTCCCCCATTGTGCCTAGAAGAGTTTTAGACCCCAATTCAGCCACTGTAACCAGTCCAAGGAAACTTGAAGTTGATGATCACCAAATCCTTTTGGCTTGTCTTAGGCAACATTTAATCAGCAAGACCTTAGCATTAGAAATTAGCAAAAGAAATTGGTCTTAGCTGAAGTCTCCCAGTCTTAGATTGAGACATCTAAGCAAGTCTCCCCAAACTTTAGGGACTACCTTGGGAAGCACGGTGGCTTCTTCCTTGGGTTTCCATATTAACCTTTTCTACCTGATCCAGGGCATTGTAGGGAAGCAAAATTTGTCACCCCAAAATGTGTCTCTTCGTCAAGAGAATGACTTTAGGCAGAGTATTTTTAAGAAACAAAAGACTCCAAGTCTTTCTTTTGGCCACCTCCTTAGCTGTTGAATAGTTTAGATAAAGGGGCTGGCCCAGGAAGAGAGCTGTTAGAGATCCCGAGAAAAAATGTGGGCCAGGTGTGGTCAGGGGAGCTCCAAATATTTACAGAGAGTTCCAAACACTTGCTTTTCCATCTCCACGTGAATCATCTTCCTCCACTTTGTATTCCCAAACCACTACCTACAACATCCTCCTTTAGCTGAAGATGGTATTTAAAGTGAGGGTTTCAACCAGTCTGGTGAGTTACTCAGGTTTTCTGGGACTCACCCATATGTACAGAAGTATACATGTTGTAAACCTTTTGTTTGCTTTTCTCCTGTTTATCTGTCTCATGTTGATTCTTAACCAGCCAGATGAAACTAGAAGGGTAAAGTTTTTGTACTCCCCCACGGCACACCCCTGAGTAGAGGGAGCTATGCTAATTTGCAACTGGCATAGACTTTGCCTCATCTGCAAGGAAGACAGCTCTGGCAAGCTGTGATCCATACAGCAGCATCAGCCAGTGAGCTGACACTCACCCCCACTTAGGTGTAGGTAGGGTCATTGTGTTACCCAGTCATGTTGCTTCCTGGAGAACAGGCCAATAAATCAAGAGATGAGTTGTTGGGGCAAGGAATAGCGACTTTGTTTGGAAAGCTGGTAGATCAAAATAATGGTGGACTCATATCCCCAAGAACCATCTTGGCTGAGTTAGAATTCAGGCTTGTTTTACACTAAAAGGAGAAAGAGTGAAGTCAAACCCTTCCGGGTTCCCATCAGCCTCTGAAGGGGATGTATTAATTCCCTTCCTGCAGTCATTGACAGCTGGGCTTGGTCAGGATGTTTCCTAGGAGCTAAACACAGGTATTTTATCTTAATGTTCATTATGTGGGAAGCAGGGCTCCCAGCACTGAGCCATTGTGTATACTTGAAGCTTATAGACAACATCCTGTTAGTGCTGCACTTGTAATGAAATACAAAAGGGTCTTCCCTATTACAGTTGTTGACTTCAGCAAAAGTCAGAGACAGATTTCATAGTGCCTTTCATGAAAGACAAATCATGGAGTCAGTAATTCTCCCTAATTTGAGCAAACTCCATGAGATAGTGAAGGACAGGAAAGCCTGGCATGCTGCAGTGCATGGGCTTGCAAAGGGTCGGACATGACATAGTGATAGAGCTAACAAATAAAAAAATCCTTTAATACACATTGAGTACCTCCTTGCCCTAAACATAAACATCTTATCTAATCCTCACAAAAACCCTGAGAGGTGGGTGGGTCTTATGTACGAGGAGGTAGTCAGAGCACTGAGAAGATTCAAATAAAAATTGGATTCCAGAGACTTCTATGCTTAAAGGAATGGTTTTTATGAAAAATTAGTTCTCCTTTTCTAATATCTGACACCAGATTTTTATGGGCAATTATTACCCTGGCAAGGCATCACTCACACACACTATATCAGTAATTAAAACTCAGAACTCAGTGTCAGCTCTTACTGCATTTAACATTGGTTTCCTACCGCAGTCTGCCATCTCCCCATGTGAGCATGGCCAGGCACNTCTACCAGTTTATTGCTACCAACCCATCTCCTTCCACCCTCATGCACACATGCTCAGTCATGTAATCCCATGTAATCCCAGAGGAGTCAGCCTGCCAGACTCCTCTGTCCGTGGATTTTTCCAGGCAAGAATACTGGAGTGGGTTGCCATTTCCTTCTCCAGGTAGGCTGGTTTATGAGAGAATTAACAAAATCTTAAACCTTTCCCGATAGTTAGAATACTTTGGAAATAATGAATGCACTTCTTGGTAAAGTAGAATGAAGAAAAATATGTGACTTAGGTTTCCTACAGACAGAAACCATTTATTCAAAAATCTTATTTTATATTGGAGTAGAGCCAATGAAGAATATGGTGATAGTTTCAGGGGCACGGCAGTGACTCTGCCATACATAAACATGTATCCATTCACCCCCAAATTCAGGGGAGG